AGTGCAGATAAAAAAACATATCTCCATCTACTCTCAGACATGAGAGGACACATCTGTCTCTTAATTAGGGATGGGATATGTAGACTGTCGGCATTTTTTTTAAATCTGGCCAATATAGTATATGTAATTCAAAAATGCAAATTTGTGATGTGTGGAGAAATAGAGTGAGCTTTATTTTAAATAGAGAGTTTGTGCCTTAGAAATGGTTCTGCCTAAAAATGAAATGCCAGATGTAAAATATACATTTTTTGCATAGCTACACGGAGAGGCTGAGTTTAACAACGATTGGACACATTGTTTTCAATTAATTGATTTCTGCCATGATCAATAAGATACAAGTTCTTTAAGATTAGTATTATGCATGTTTAAAATAAAGTACTGGCATGACTGGGGCAATCCTAGTAGCACGCCTAGTTTACATACCCTGGCTAATATGACTTCTCATGCTGTCAGAATCGATGAGTGATAAAGGAGAGGAAGAAAGTAACTGGTTTATCTTGCTGTCTCTCTGCTCTGAGATACTTTTCCTTTCTGAATTGCTTTCGTACTTTTGAAAATATGATTTGGAAACATGTTGATGTTGGTTGTTTTACTAAAAATAAGATTTCAGCATTTATGTATGTGTTATCACCTCATTGCTTTTAAGCTTAGCTATAACCCGATGGCAGAATCTGTGGAAAGGTGTAATAGGACAGGGGCAAGTATTTCTAGGCAGGGTTGCAATGATTTGTGTCAGTAAATATAGCATTGTCTGAAATCTGATAAGAGCACCTGCACAATTTTTGAAGTGAGGGCTGTTTTTTAGACAGATTTTTTTAGTGGTGTGGGCTAACATAGGTTCTTCATATGCTCTGTGCAGTAATCGTGCCTAACTAACTGGTATCGCCTGACTTTTAAAATCTCTTGTCCTAAGGACAGGCAGCTTTTCTACTAGCTGGTTCATACACTTAGTAAGAGAAAGCACCAATTCATATTGAATTCACTACTTCATTTCCAAAGGGTTTGAAGAATTCTGATGTTATTGAATTGTTCTCCATTTTTTGAAAACAGTTTTATTGCTTGTAATAAGGCTTCTGGGAACAGACATAGAGGCCCATCTGTCTTGTTTTCCCTTACATAGAGTTTACTAGAAGAGGTGAAAACAACATAACAAGGGAACAGAGTATCAATGTTGACTTTTTATTGGCACCTATTTATGGATTTATTAAAAAAAAGTTTATTTTTAAAAACTATGGAATTACTTTTTTTGGTAAAAGATAGCAAAATCTGTAGCAAATACATTGTACTGTCGATAATTAAAATGAGCATTTGGCTATTACACTGTGTGTTTCTTAATTAACTGACACCTCACGTTATTCAGTTCAGTCAGGAAAGCAAATAAATATTGAAAAAAGAATTACGTGAATTCTAACCCCAACTCCCAAAAAAACCCCTCTGTCGATTGGGAAAGAGAATGGATCAAGCTATGGCCACTGTGATACTTTCATCAGTTTCCAGCTGATTTCAGCAATAATTACTGTATTCACACATTATACTCAGCCAAGGATCACAGCTGAGATCTGCACTTAATATTTAATAATTTGGAGGAAGACAGAAGCCACATTTTGTACAGCACTTTTATGTTTTATTTTAACAGTAGTAATGTGATTTTCAGCAGTAAAGGAACAAGCAGTCAAGAAATACGCCATGGACTAGCACTTGGTTGAATAGCAATGAAGACCTTGGAAAAGTTGTTCATGAAGTGTCTATATTATAAAGTTCAGAATGAAACAGGCAGTAGTTTTCCTTGTGACATTCTATGGATGCAAAAGTAGGACTTTGAAGAAAGAGGTTAGAATGAATATTAACATTTTTGAGCTTTACTACTCGAAAAGACTCCTGACCATCCCATGCATAGCCAAGAAAATAAATGGCTCGTCAAACCGATCAACCCAGAACAGGGGTTGCCAATGTATTGGACCTCATGGAGCACCAAACTCATAATTTTAAATCCCGCGGACCAGAGACCCTGGGAAAATCCCCTGAAAAAGTCTGCAGGAAAATTCCCCACCCCGTTTTCCTACCGATCGATCATTCTTTATTTGGGATCACAGGATACCATCTCCAGCTCCGTTCTCAGGGGGAGAGAAAAAGAGAGAGACTTTTGGCTTCATGCAAGGAAAGCAGCAGAAGCAGCAGAAGTCTTTCTTTCTCTCCTGGTGGAGTTTGGGGGAGAGAAAGTAAGACTTTTGCTGCTTTCCTTGTGTGCAGCCAAAAGCAGAAGAAGAAAGAAGCGGAAAGAGGTAGCCTGGTGGCCAGGCCAGGCGTGTGGGGCGAGTGGGGCAAGTCCCCCCCTCCGCCCTTTCTCCTCTCCCCTCACTACCTCGTGCTGTTCACAATGCAGGCCATGTGGGCGGCACAGCCTTGTGTACCCGCGCGGCCTGGATTAATTGCTTTGGGGGTGACATTTCTTTGCGGAGCACCAAATTTTTCTCACGGACCACCAGTGGTCCCCGGCCACTGAGGAGAACTTGCCTCAACATAATGTGCAAAAACGTAGCTTTCTGCAGGAGTCTATAACACAGAAAAGAAAAGGGATGGCAGCAACAAGGTGGCTGGATTCAATTATAATAAAAATCAATGCACAGTTGAAAGACTGGAAGAATCAGACTGGAGCGAGATTCCCCCCTGGAGAAAATCTATTTAATATGGTCACTAAGAATCGATACCAACTGGATGGCATATAATCAAAACTATTCTACAATTTATAATATACAGTCTTGGTACATGTCCTTTCTTATACTGGAAAATTGCTGCCAGTTTTCAACAGTCACAACTTTAAATTCAGTAATGGAACCAGGAGCTCAGAAGGATGGGGTGATGTCTCTAAACTTAAATATTTGTACTTCATGCATCTGACATTGTGGGTCAATTGCTTTTTATAGCGGTAGCTGAATCTCAAGCTTTAGAACACTGGAGCTGACTGACAATTGCTGTGTGCTGTTCTTGACAACTATTTGCAGCTGGGTTCAGTTTACCCTATGTGGAAACCCAGTTCCTTGAGAAATCTACAATGGATGGAAGAATGGAGTGAAGAGGACTAGAGCAAGAAGGATGGATTCAATTATGAGAGCAATGAGTACCCAACAGAGAAGTCCAAAAGGCTGAGGTGAAGACAGATCATTCTATAAAGAATCTACCAATGTTGGCCTCTAATGATCAACACCATCCTGACGGCCCTTAATCAATCAATTAATGTAATAAACTAATGCACACTAAAAGCAAGTTTCTAATATAAAAGCATTGTTTTTAAAAAGTCCAAGCATTCAACCAATGCTTATAACGATAAATCTCTCACATACTAAAGTAGCTTGCTGGCAGTGGGCCTCTTCAGCCATGGAGCCCTTAATATTTAATGACAATTGTATGAATTCCACATTGCTACGGTGACTATAGGGACGTGGTGGCTCAGTGGCTAAGATGCTGAGCTTGTCGATCAGAAAGGTTGGCAGTTTGGTGGTTTCAATCCCTAGCCCCACATAACGTAGTGAGCTCCCGTTACTTGTCCGAGCTTCTGCCAACCTAGCAGTTCGAAAGCATGTAAAAATGCAAGTAGAAAAATAGGCAAACTTAATAGAGCTGGAAACAACTAGCATATATTGCGAGGGGAACCTTTACCTTTATTTACCATGACTATAAGACACTATGGCCTTCAACAACCTGTACAAAGTTTTGCCATACTTGTCACCATTTTCCTGGAAAGGATGCAAATAATGATGAAATCATGCTTGCGAGTTTAGAATTATAGAATAGAGCTGGAGGGAACCTTGGAGGGCTTCTAGTCCAGCCCCTTGCTCAAGCAGGAGAACCTATACTATTTCAGATAAGTGACTTCTGGTGTCTTCTTAAAATTCTCCAGTGAAGGAGTGTCCACGATTTCTGAAGGCAAGCTGTTCCACTGGTTAATTGTCCTCACTGTTAAGAAGTTTCTCCTTAATTCTAGGTTGCTTCTCTCTTTGATTAGTTTCCAACCATTGTTTTAAAATGTTGTGTATTTTTCCTTTAGAGTTCTGTTAATTTCTAGAAAGTGTGAAAATATTCTTGCAAGACTAGAAATAGCCCTGTTTGTTCCTGTTTACCTATAATAATTTTTTAAAGACTAAAATATGCTTAATTTTGTTAAAATCCCTTAAAAATAGAACATTGTGTCATTTCCTCACTTCTATAGCCATTGTCTACTCAAAAGTTAAATGTGGACATCCCCCCCCTTCAAAAAATTTCCCATTTTATGCATAATTACTGTGCAATTAAGTCACATTAAATACATTAAATTCTAAATCACTATATAATCATTATCATTATAATTGGGCATCAGTTGTCCCTTACGTTTGGGTTCATTTTTGGTTTTTAGTTCAGATCACAGATTCAGGAATGATCATGCCCCTGTTGGAGTCTGAATCCAAGGCGCAAGACAAACAGCTGAGTGGGAATGTGGCTCTGTTGGCTGTGGAAAAAACTGGGAAAGGGCAAAGTTGGCTGGGGAGAGCAGGAGAGAGATAGAACAAAGGAGAGGGAGTTCAGAGAAAGACCCCAGGCCCACCTCCTCTTCATCCTAGGGCACACGGGGAGGAATGAAGAGAGCAACGTGGGTTGTGTGGCTTACGGAGGAGGAAAGGGCCCTGATTCCCTTCATTAGCCACACCTGGGAATGAGTTTAAAAGAAATGGATGCTGAGTGCGGCAGCTGTTGGAAACAAACATTAATGTATCTTGTGTTGACTTTGCTTATCTGTGTTCCTGGCATCTTCCCAACCGTGTGGAGTTATTGCCGTGCCTTCATGTCTGGAATTCTTGCTCCTGCCCTGTCAGACCAATTATCTCGTTTTGCCTTGATTGGACTTATAGTTACAGTTTTTGTTGACCACGTTTTGGACTTGATTCTCTGCAACCAAGGCTATTCCTGGGAGAGTTTTTCTCCAGCCAGAAATAACCAGGACATTGGGGGTAAAGTTGGAGCTAATAAAGGGATTCCTATTGATTATCTGACTGTGTTGCCTTTGTGCCACGCCCCAAGTCATCACAGGAATTGCTTAGCTGATCATACAACCTGATCTAGCACTAGGTCAGGATATCTACTGTATTTCAATGCTTTCCCCAGTGATACTCATTTTCTTAAATTGTCTTGTTGGTTCATAAGAAAAATGATCCATTTATCTTGTTCATTCAAAAAGAAGGGCAAACACCTTGAAAAATGTTAGTTGAATAAAAATTCTATAAATGATAGGAGGTAGGTTTCTTTCTCTCTTATTGTTTCACACCAAATTTAATTCTAAATATGACGCTCACAGAGCTGGGTTTGTGACCAATGACTTGTTTGTGATTAATGACAAACAGTAGTAATGAAAGTCTCCTTGAAAGATTCCTCTCTTGATGTTAACCTCTTCCAGACTAGCCAGCAAGTGTGTCTTTCATTGTTCCATTGATCTTTGCATAAAGCCTCTGATATGACTGCTTATTCCAGTTATTTCTAGGCACTTGATTATCCAGGTACGTGGTAGAGTCAAGTGCCAACTAACAAATACAGGAAGGTAGCAAACTTAGCTACATTCAGGTTGCATTTCCTTCTCTTCCTTTTTTGGTCATTATCATAATCATCATCATCATATCATCATCATCATTCCTCATCAATCTTATTTGGTCTCAGAAGTTCTGAAGGCCCAAAGCTTTTCTATTCCCTCTAGATGTACTGTTATGTATATAGTCTGTGATTGCTCACAGTTCTTATTTCTTAGCCCTGTGTCCATCAAGGTTTGTACGCATCCAGTTTTTTTTAAATGTAGTCTTTTTTTTATTGCCAGAAACCACCAGTCTTACTTCGTTGATATCCGATACCATCAGGTTCTCCACTTGGTTAGTTCTGTATTCCCGCACACAAGACGCACCATCCCTGTCTCTTCTGTGTACCACTATTTCCAACTCCCAGATCTTCCAAATCAGCATGCCAATTTCTGAAAATTCTGGGAGTTATCTAACTCCCAGAACTCTATATCTAACTCTACAGATATAGTTAGGTAAAACAGATAAGAGGTGAGTGTTGAACTGGAATGAAGTATATTCAGATCAATTTTTGTCCGATAGCATTATTTAGTCTAGGACTCCACAGACTCAGAGTTTTGTAAAGTTTAATCATCAGAACAGTAATGATTGACCAAGTGATTAGATAATCTTTTCCTTGTAGTCATGTGAACATGCTACTGGTTAATGCAATAGTTTGTGGCAGTAGTCTGCAACAGACCTGGTTGCTTTTTGGGAGAACATAATACCTTTCATAAGGTTGCTCATATGGAGGCCGTCGAGTAGTAGTAATTTCAACTGCCAATTAAAACATTGATATTTTTTATTTTTTAACAAGATTTTGAAAAATTTAGACATCTGTATAAGCATTTCCCCATTTTGTTTTTAATGAAAAAGTAAGGGTTAAGAAAGGTTAATAGAAAAATTGAAAGTTCAGTTTCCCCAGAATGCCTGAGTATTTTCCATACTGCAAACTCAGATAGTATACATGCTGTAGGTCAGGAAAACTATGCCAGCATGGAAAGCAGGATTCTTTTTTTTAAAGCTAAGTCTTACTCAAGGGAAACAAAAAGGACCTGAAGCTTTGACAAAGGAAAGAAAAAAGAAAAGAAACTAATCTGAAAAGCATACAAACAGCTCCATTTATGCCTTAAAATCCCCAGAAAATTGGGGGAATGTCTGAAATAGATTAGATAAATGTGTGAAGAGGAGAAACATGAAGTCCAAATGAAATTCTTTGTATCTGTGTTTTTAGCAAAACACAAATCTTCAGTAGGGAATTGCTGAAAAAGTTATATTCCTTGCTATGCAAAGCAATGTATAAATTGATTAAATACTGATAATATTCAGTAAATAAAGATTTGCATGAAAGAGAAAATGACTGCTGTAACAAAAAATATTGAATTAGTTCTGTGTTTGCTCTTCATATTTAATAAGTGGACAAAGGCCATTTTAACAACAAAATATAAACATTTGAAGTGTGGAAGCTAAGAAATTATAGGGACTGAGGCCATGCTGATGGAAAATGTGCAGAAGGAAAAAATGCAGAAAAGGGATTAGCAGGCTTTCCTATTAAAATGTATTAAGAGTGACACATATAAAAATGCTTGGGTGAAAAGACAATACCTGCTTGCACTATCAAAGTTTTGATAAAGTTTCTTGCCACAGATTCATAACAAAAACTAAACAGGATAAAAAAGGGACTTTAATTGTCCCAAGAACAAAATGAAGAAATTACAGATAATGGATAGCTCCCAACTAAAAAAACCTTAAAGAGGGATTAGAACACTGAACAAAAATTTGTGCTTTCTAAAATAGAAAATATTTTACTGGGCAGACTGCTACAGTTAACAAAGTTTCATAAAATAAGACATAAAATTTACAGTTTACATTTATGAATACATAGTTCTTAAAAATTAAACATGTAACATTTAGTAGCAAAAGGAAGATAAAACATTATCTTATCACTACCTGATTGCCCTTGCGGAGTTTCAAGTTAAAACTAAAAGCTCAAGAAACTACTAAATTCTGTTGTTCAGTGCAGCAAAAACACCAGAATGATTAATAATAAAACCCAAAGGGCAAAGTCTGACAGAAACAACTTTAGGCAGCTTATTCAAAGTGGGATTTGAGCAAAATAGTATTTGCTGTCCTGCAAACCCCATTCATTTTAATGGATTCTGCATATACCTACCTCGGCAAAGCCCTTCTGTTCACTTATGAATTCTCTCATTCAATCTCAAATTGAATACAAAAGAAAAGCATCAACATGCAGCTTTTGTGGTTCATACAGAGCATTGATCCAAGGGAAGGTAATGGAATAAAGAAAAAGTTGGATACTATAGATGGGCACATTTTAATTCCTTGGGAATTAAGTGCAATGTATGGAGTTTAATAGCGTGCTTGTTTTACAATTTTGACTGCCAAATGCACCTAATGTTTGACATTAATAATCAAATCTGGATTGATCTCTGAATCAATATGTAGTGAAGTCAATATGTAGAAGAAAATTTATTAAAACGTACAATTCATAACAGTTTTGGTCTTTAAAATAAATCGGCACAGAAAAGAAATATATGGGATGTACTGTTCTGTTTTGGTTTTTTTTTTAGAAATGTCCTAGAAATGTTACATAAAAACATTGGTATGTTAAAGACTGTTTGATATTAAGTACCCCTCTTAGTTTTTCAGAAGGAAAAGGACTATAACAGCATCACAAAGTCATTAGGAAGTCCTGCAATTTTCATGTGGTACAAAGGTTTCCAGTTGAAATATGAGATCAACAGCAGCTTCAACATCTGACACTATGTGGTTTGGTTCTACTAAAGCAGGATCAAATCTGAAATCTCTGTGCCCATGAAAGACAGTCTCAGTGATGTTCTCCCTTGTATCAGAGGGCACCTCTGTGTGAGGGTTATAAACTCCGGTGCAAACAAGAACAGATGTACATCTTGTGGCAGTAGCTGATGCAAGTTCATTTTCCCAAGAATTCTCAAGCTCCTCTTCCTGAGAAACGGTGGCAGATCTTGTGCCCCCCAGCGCTTTGGCCTGGACATGAGCCTTAGAACTTCTTCTTGAGATCTTCTCTTCAAGGTAGCGGTTGTAAAGATTAGCACCATAAATATCTGTCATCAGGTTGTCCCTAGAAACCCAGGAAAATTCCATCAGAACCAAAATATAGGAGCTATATGTATAATTATTAGGGCATCAGATTTCATTTTATTAAATTAGGGAGCAGAGTTCATTTTATTTTCAATTTCAGTCATTTGTCTAACCGCTGCTGCTTGGAATGAGACATAGACTACTCTCTGCATAATGTGCCATCCCCTCTTCATGGGAAACTATATGTGTTAAAGTTCCCTTTGTGGGAATTTTACTCTTGATCCAGCAGCTTAGTAAACTCAAATCCTACTGCATGGCATTGCACTGGGCTTCTTATTCTTTTGGACAAATAAAGTTTAATGGAATATTTAAACAGTACAGATAGTCATTGGATAATGGTAGTAATTGGGACTGTGGGTAGGGGGTGCTGCAGGTGGGCATGTGCTATGAGAGCTCTGTAGTAATAGCAATAGCACTTAGACTTGTATACCGCTTCACAGTGGTTTACAGGTCTCTAAGCAGTTTACAGAGTCAGTATATTACCCCCAACAATCTGGGTCATTTTATCAACCTCGGAAGGATGGAAGGCTGAGTCAACCTTGAGCTGGTGAGATTCGAACTGCCAAATTGCAGTCAGCTGGCAGTCAGCAGAAGTAGTCTGCAGTACTGCATTCTAACCACTGTACCACCATGGCTCTTGATATAACAGGCTCCTCAGGAGAAAAGTGGCAGAATTGACTTAAAGGAGCAATTTGTGCCTTTCCATGTCAGCTTCTCATTGACTTTACTTGTGGGAAGCTAATAGGAAAGATTGCAAATGGTGATCAGATTACTGCAGTCACATGACTGCGATGCTGCAACTGTCATATGAGTGAGCTGGTTGCCAAACATTATAATAGCAATCATGTGACTCGGGGTGCTGTGATGGCCAGAACAATGAAGACTGGTTATAAGCCCCCGTCACAACTTTGAATAGTTGCTGAACAAGTGACAGTTAACTGAGAATTGCCTGTATTATTTTAAGTATTTAAAATAATTGATTTTAAAAACTTGTAATTTTTTTAAGATTGCAAGTGTGAACCTTTTCTAAACTGCTGCCAGTGGAATGTCTTTGAGCTCATCTTCCAATTTCCTCAATGGGGGAATAACAGAAACTATAGTTCAATGAAAGCAGAAAATGTTATTTTGAAGATGAGCATGTTACAGCCTCGCTAGTGTTCTCACAGTGCAACCATTTCATGCATATCCCAATGTCAAGTTGACACACTCAAGACTGCCAAAACATACAGATGACAACTAAATTAAAAAATCTGACTTCTCAGAATGTTAACTTTCAATTGAAAAGGTTTTTTAAAACTGTTTCTCGCAAGCATGAATAAAATCTGAAATGCACAAGCAGGATAAGGCACAGGGCAAGCTTCTTTAACTCATCATGCTGTGATTATTATAGCTCTCCAAATTCTCAGTAAGCTGGGATAGAGAAATGGAAGTTGAAGGAAGCTGCTGGATCATTTTAGCACTCTTAGGCTGCCTTTTTATTGGCAGCCATGCAATGGCATTTCATGCTAAATAATCTCAGTTTACAATAGGCAGGATTATATTGCAATGGAATTATTTTCAAAATCAATTTGAAGCTTAGCTGAAATTGTACAATTACACGAGTAACCAATTATTCAAATGTTTTCGCATATAGCTCTTCCATAGTGAAATCTGTAGTGTTTGAACTGAAATCTCAAGCATGATATCCATGAACTACAAGACAACCTTAGTTGGTGCTGGAGACCAATCAATCCATTAAGAAAACATGACTGTAGTACTTAAGCACACACGAGCAAGTTATATCTTTGCTAGAGGCAGCTTGAGATCTTAAAAGAGGGTTTCAAATGGCAGATTGGGTAGTGATATGTAGAAGTACGGGGCAGATTTTGTTATTGACTTTCTGTCTCAAAGAGCAAGAGTGAATTGACACCCTGCAAAAACAATTAGTTTAGGGATGAACACGTTTTCAGGGGGCTATCTAACTACTCTTTTCAATTGTCTACCTGCATTTAAGAGTAGCTTGCCTGAAATTTAACTTTTTTTTTCCAGATAGCAAATGAGAGGGAAGAAAAGAAATCTCCTACCCAATGGCATACAACGTTTGAATAGGGCTCTTCCACTGCTTTGCAGATGCTTGAGTCCTAATGAGGTACTCTGCATAGTGATAAGTCACTTCACTAGGCTTCCCCATCAATGCTTCATATTTCAATTCTTTGCCAGTGATCTTCTTATAAATATTTTCCAAACAAACCATAAATGTTCCATGCCCAAACCTGAAACACAGAAATAAAATTTGGTCAATAAAGTTAAGTTGCTGGTAGGATAAAAACAACTTATTACATCAAAAGGAAGAATTTTATATATACTATTTATCCAAATCCTTAGCTTCTCCTCTGTGAATTATAAGGCAAGATTGCTTTGACTCACTTTTTATTCTGCCTGCATAATTCCTGGCAATCACTTAAAGTTGAAGAAACATGGCAAAACATTTTTAATGCTGTGGGAAAAAACCCCATCTGGGCAAGATAGCCTCCACAAAACATTTACAAGGCTGAATTAATTAAGTTTACTGTGAGATTATCTTTATGCTTTTGGCAGGACCACAAAAAAAATAACAATAATGCTATGATCAGAATCAGACAAAAATAATAGTTTAATTTCAGGAGAGAAAGACATTAATTCAGAAGCACAAGTTACATATATTAGCAGTCAACTACTACAACAGTAATCTAATTGGCAATTCAATTGACAAACCAAGCTATTCATCTATCAATCTCCATCTATTCTATTCTATTCTATTCTATTCTATTCTATTCTATTATTCTATTCTATTCTATTCTATTCTATTTCTATTCTATCTAATATACATACATACATACATACATACATACATACATATATATATATATATATATATATATAATATTATTTATTTTTAATTAGTTTGTCATGCCCCTGGTAGAGACTGACTCTGAGGGAGATGAGGAACAGCTGACAGGGAGTGGAAGTGTGGCTCTGGAGGTTGTGGAGGAGGTTGGGGAAGGGCAGAGGCTGGCTGAGCAGGCAGAGGAGGACCCAGGCCCATCCCCTATCCATCCTAAGGCACGCAGGGAAAAGAGGATAAGGGAGAGACGTGGCCTACTCAGGAGGAGAGGGCCTTGATCCTCTTTTATGGGCTGCAGGTGTGACAACTGCCTAAGAGTTTGGACCTGCTTACTGGCAAACGCTGGAAACAAAGCATGTTTTATTTTGGTCTGAAGTTATCTTGGTTGGCGTCCTTCCAACAGACTGTGCCGTGTTATCTCCTTGAATTTGGTAAATACTTCTCCTGTTCCATTGTGGAAATTTCATCATTGTAGTTTGTTTGGTTTTTTATTTCACCTCTATCTGCTTATTAAATTCGGACTGTTTTGCTTTCTTTTGAAGACTATTTCTGAGTACGTTTTATCTCCAACTGAGTATTATTGAACGGTAGGGCCAAGTTGGAGGCATTAAAGGGTATTTATTTACATTTTGTTATGTTTGTGTTACACTCTGGGTCATCACATAGTTATTATATTATTGTTATTTTATATTTATATATTTTTATTTATTATTATTTTATTATAATATATAAATTATATATTATATTATAATTCTTAATTTGGTAATTTAATTAATAATTAATATTATATTTATTTAATGTATGTTCCAGCATAACTCTGGAACGCCTCAAGCAATTTCAACCAAACCTGGTACACAGATGACTTACCCTCTGGAAACAAATACTGTGTGGGGTAAGACACCCCTAACATCCCTTGGGGAGGGGTATGTGCCTTAAAATGGCTTCTGCCATGGTAACGGCTTCATCGCTCCCACTTGTGGAGGAATAGAAGAATTGCAATGCTGCGCAACAGACAGTACAATAGCATGAGTCCCGACTACAGGATTTTCCTGTCTAATACAGGATTGGGATAAATAAATACCTGGGCAACGCCGGGTTATTGGCTAGTTTACTATAAATAAAGCAATTAACTTTATTCTATGTATACTTGCACCTAAAAACTAGAATTCATGTGTTTCCAATGATAGTAATAATGCATCTGGAAGTAGTGCTTCCTTTCCATCAAATTACTGTTCTTATGAAAGACCTCCCTTTTACCTCTTCTTCCAGGATTTAGCATGATAGTATCCTAAGCATCAGTTATCATTGGACATGCCAATATGACATTATACATATAAAATGGATTTCTACGTTCTTTCAAGTGGCCAACAAAGCAAAAAGTGCAGTTTAAATGGGAGGAAAGATGTTGTCACTGACCCAAATATTAATTCAAGCTTTGATTACATTCACTGAAGAGTCACCAATTATCAAATCAAATCAAACAATTATGATACCACAGATCTTTGACTACGGTAGTAGCTGAGAATCTATGTTAGAACTTAAAGAAAAATACTCAGAACAACAAGTATCTTTGCCTTACCTTGGGGATTGAGCTTCAGCTGCCCACATCAAGTCCATATTGCAAGCCAATACAGGAATATGTGGATACGTTCGTTGATAAGGATTTCCAGGATAGCCACTTGTCAAAAGAACATCTATTATCAACTGTAAGTTGGTTTCCCACCTCACTGGCTCACCAAACAAAATAACTGCTGTAATATAAGCACAATATCAATGTGTTACATGTGTGTGATTATAAGCTATTTCCTAATGCAAAATAACAAACACACCACCTTCTATCTTTCATGCACACTATAACAAGAATAGGCAAACCACGGGCCCAGGTTGCATTTAATCATTGAACCTATTTTTAATCAGCTCAGAAAGGCTGCTGTGATCATGCCATTAAAATTTAGCAATAAATACATAAAAATGAGCACATCTTAAAATGCAAAAATCTTTTTTTTAAGTATCACAAAAATCACCTGGGATAGCAGTACATTGGTGTGTCCACTGATATTTAAAAGCAAATAATTACTTTGTATTTAAAGTACTTCAGTCCTTTTTCTTTTTAGAAATAGAGAAAAAAACAAGAAAAAAATCAAACTGTACAAAAATCAATTATTTATGCAAACATGGATGATTCACTGCCAATAATTACAAACCTCAACAGAACTTCTGTAAAATGAATGAACATAGAATAATGATGAAAATACTACTTGAAAATTCATGTTACTAGTTTTTTCATTAGTTTTTAAACCTCATGAAATTAAAACTGTAAGAATGAGGTTTGGTAAAGAACTAGAAGTTTCACAGCTTAACATCAATGGTAGATTTATAAAGATACTAGAAAAATAAAAGAAACAAATAAAAATGAACCACCAGTCAATATCATTGTAAAATGACACATTGTATATGCTGACTATCACTTTCTTATTTAGATATATCACAGCAGCTAGCAAAAAAACAGCAAGATGCTTTCAGAGCTATCACTAGGCAGCCCATTTTACTTGGAGTAAATTTCAGAATTAAACATAAACATCTAGACACACTGACCTTCAATCTTGGGGAAATCCATTGTGGGTAAGTGCTACAAATTAAAAACAAGTTACATTAACTAAGAAAAAGTTTCCTTTATTAGCACAAAGAAGAAACAAAGTAAGCAATCCTCTGAACATTTATGGGCACAGCCCATGTTCGGATTAAATTCCCAGCACCTCTAAAAAACTTAAAAGCTGCCATCACAAACATAAGGAGACGAGATACTTCCCATTTATATAACTTGCACACTTGATCTTTAATGTTTTATCCCATAATCTTGCTGTAAAAGAAGTCCATATAATTGCCAATGTGTTTTAGAAACGACTCCTGTGTTTATAACACAGAAATCCCCTCTAACATATCACTTATCTTCTTAAGCCTAATTCAACATATCACCAAGGCTTTTTCCTCCACTCTTCTGACTCTCCAGCTGTGATCATCTGAAAGTTCTTATTATTAAATTGTTTTTCTCTGATTTCTCTTTCCTTTAGCTGCACATGTGTTTGCTGCAAAATGGTATACCAGCAACATCTATCTCGTAGTGTGCTTACCAGTATATAGTAAAAGAGCAAAGAAAAGGAACAAAACAACTGAATCACAAAATAACAAACCATAACCACTCCTTTCTGCAAAACAAGCAAGCCTGCATAGCTAATTAGAGAGCTAACTATACATTGACCTGAACTCCAGATGTCAGGAGAGACTCAATTGAACAAAGCTGGATCAGTCCAATGCTGCTGGCTCTTTTTACCCTCTTTCCTACTACAATACTTGAGCCTTTGTGTTATTAGTCATCGGTAGCATTTCCTCAGTTGCTCTGTCAGCTGCTATCAAATCTGTTCTATAATAATCAGTCAACATTGAGAAACTCTAAGAACAAAGAGTGCAATCTTTTAAATGTTACGAATGATGTCAAGAAAGATACTTTAAATGCATCCTTTGTGTACATAGTGCATAATATTTGACAATCAAATTAGCAGTACATGTTGCATCAAGGAAACAATAAGACTTGAGCAATCAGACTTTCACCACTACATTACTGTTTTTAATTTGTGCATATGGGGAAATATTTATCCACTTTATGTTATAACCCAAATTAAAATATACTTTCATTATGTTGCTACTGGCACAAAAGAGAACTGGTAACAAGATGTCAAAGAGTTCATTTATTTATAACATAGAACTTCAACTCCCACCTGTTCCGGGTACGAATGTTGGAAATATATCCTTCAGCACATTTTAATACATGTTTTGTTTTTATTGAATATAGTTTTATATTGATTTACACTTATTTTATTGTACTCCATACCACTGTGTAAAAGGTCATCTGCCTAGGTAGAGTTAATTCTTTTAGTCAAGCTTGACTATTGACAATTGATGTATCCAGGTAGTTTTCTTAACAACAGGGAAAGAGTGTTGTTGCTAAATCTTCCTGGTGTTTTTCAACTTCCTGGTCTGGATTACATTACTGGTAATTCCCAATCATTTTTTACCCAGTTAGTAATCTGAACTGACACTATTTACTTCCTGAGTCTAGAAAAGGTAAGTGATACTGCCACTTTCTAAAATCTGTTCAGAAAGGTATTTAGCACTTGAAAGGTCACTATTTTTTTCTGTCAGACTCAAGCCCCATCTTCAAAACTGGTTAAAGATTTTCAAGCATTTCTGGTTTGGTTGGGAACAGATAAAGAAGTCTGAATCACAGTCATGTGGTATTGTCCATTTTGTGTTCCTGTTTCTCCTATCATCCAGCTCACCTATTGCTCTGCTTATTGCTCTGCTACTAAGTAGGAATAGGGAAGGAATAGGAACTGGCACCATCTAGGTGAGAGTGGAAGCAGCCTTGGAATGGAATGCTGGGTCAGAGGGACAAAGGGGTTTATTAGAAGAGAAGGGACTGAAACAGCTTTGCCAGGCAGTATATTACTTCCTTTGATTTGTAGAATGGTGAGGTCCAAAGATAGAGGAAGTGATACTCCCAATATTTCATGCCTGGCCATCACAATTGTTCATGTGACACTCAGTATATCCAGTTCCAAAATTTTGGAATCCTCTAGGTTTGAATCTATCTGTTTGGGTTTATTTTTTAGGAATAACTTTTCTATAAAATTTTATTGACTTTTTATTAATTACATTTTTTAGAAATAAGGTGGTAAACATATCCAACACAGCTCACTTCTCCTATTTTCACTCCACAACAACCACTCTGTGAGGTGGGTTGGTATGTGACTAGCCAAAAGTACTCAGCTGGCTATCATGGCTAAGGAGGTCTTGCAACTCATGATCTCCTGCTTTCTAACCTGGTGCCTCAGCCACGAGACCAAAAAGAATCAACATAAGCCTTATTCATCCTTGGAAAGAACATCGTTTACATCAGCAGTCCCCAACCTTTCTAGCAGCAGGGCTGGTTTTGTGGAAGACAATTTTTTCACGGATTTGTGGGGATGGTTTCGCACAGATCCAGATCCTGCACAAGCAGATGAAGCTTAGCTTGCTTGCCTGCCAGGGCAGCCCAGTTCCTAACAAGCCATGGTCTGATCCACCGGCCGGGGATTGGGGACCCCTGATTTACATGACAAGCAGCCCAATAGACTACTGTAATTACAATGTAAAAAATGTGAAAGGAGTTATTGAAGAGAAAAAGCAGTAAAGTACAGTACACTTACCAAAACTTTAGGTCTTCTGTCATGATCCACCATGTCCAATAAGGGATAGGTTTCTCGCAACATGTCAATTGTAATAGGCCGACAAAATCCAAGACTAATGACATATTGGTTATGGATAGCAATGCATCTATGTTTTAATGAAAGGCATATTTGTTTTGCATTCCCCAAACAAATAATACATTTTAAATGGCAGTGACAGACATATTCTAATTACAGGAAATGTTTCCATATCCTCCAGGAGAATATACACAATACAGGAGAGAGATAAACACAATCTTTGTTCATTGGTTCATTCAGACCTTTATGTTTAGGATTCTTATGAAAGCTAATTTTTATTCAGAAGTACAACAATGTCCAAGAACAAGTTTCTTATTAACTCATTATAATTTTACGGTACATTCCAATCTGAAACATTTATGCGAGTTCCTAATAAATGGCTTCAAACTGATTTCTAGGAACTTTGCTTTGAAAATCTTTAACTCTGCTCAAAGAAAGAGGAATTTTGAATTAGTGGAATTGATTCAAGGAGTCAAGAGGCAAAGGAGATCTCCTCCCCCTTCTTAGTTTGTCTTTTTTTTTTTTGCATTCTGTATCATCCCATTTGAGATTTCCTAAATTCATGGAGTTGATAGGAGACATTTTCTGCTTTCTCTACAAAACGTATCTTTGAATCTTGGGGAAAAAAACAATACACACCACATGCTTAACTCTAGCACATTCCCCTATCATGCATCTTCGGCCCAAAATGCAGAATAAACCCAGCATTTCCAAGGATACTGCTTAGCAATGTCAAGGAGTGGGCCTTGTCCTGATACAAGAACACATTTGTCATGGTAACGCCTAAACATTCGCAAAGGACTGTGGGACATCACAACTTGATCTTTGGAAATCTAGGAGAGAGAAAAAGTGGATAATCTGTTTTAGCATTTGAATTATGACCATTTGTTCAGTGACTGAAATTATACTGGTGCTGAAAAAGATGGATTTTCAACCCATGCCAAAAGTTATAACTATTGCACCACCCTTGCCTCCACGTGCTCAAAATTCAGATACTTGGCAGCCTGTCCACACTTATGAACACAGGGGTGCTGCGATTACCCCACTTGTCTCAATCCTCCTGGTCTATGCTCTTTTGGCCACCCTGCACAGGAGTACAGTGGCAGCAGTGCTGGGGCCAAAGGTGAGTCCTGAAGTCTTCAGCAATGTCAGCTATCTGCCACCTAAAACCCCAAACCACGCCCTAACATGTCAGCACCATTCCATGAAGACCCAATTCCCTCTGCTACCATGTGCTCCACACCCTGCTACACCACACCCTACTTTTGTTGTTTTTCTCCAGCTGCTGACAGGCATATCCAGCCTATGTGGCATAGATGCTGGCTGCGCCAGGTCTTCTTCCCAAAGCCGCCTTGTACCATTCTTCAAGCTGACATTTCATTATCATGATGCTTCGGAAGCTTCGTTCCCCAAACTGCATGATTTGGAGAATAAGGCTTCCGAAGGCTTGAGAGAATGTAGGCCACTCTTGTGGTGCTTTGGAAGCCTCATTCCCTAAATTGCTTCCAAAAGAAAATGTAAAATGTAAAACTATTTTAATTAAAAAATGGCAAGATTTGTAATGAAGCTTAAGAAGCTGCCTCTATCAGTTGAAGACAAAATTCTAAGCTGTAGATAAATATATGACAATTCCAATTCGTGTACTGTAGAGAAGAAAGAAAATGACAAGCATTCCAATAGATGGGATAAAGTTACTTACTGGGACTTCAAGAAGATGGGACAGCTGGTCTGCTTTCTTCTGACACAGACAGTTTCCTGCATTAGTAACAAATACTACAGGCACCAAAAGTTGTCCCTGAGAATTAAGTAGTTTTTGAAAGGCTTTTCGGGCAGCAGGAATTGGGGTCCTTCCTCGTACCAATACTCCATCAATATCAAACAGAATGCCAAAGGTAGGTTGTATACCTAGCTGAAATGGAAGAGAGAAACAACAGAAAGAAAAATCTTATCAACCAGACATCACGTAGCTTAAATTCATAAAATGCACGTACAGAGGGTTACTCTTCTTTGCTTCAAGCAACTTCATATAAATACATAGTTTCTCCTCCCTTTCACTATACGTTCACAACAATCATGTGAATTTGCTAGAAGTGGCTAGTATTATCTTAATTCTGTAAGGGTGTTTACAACTAAGGACTTTGCTCGGCTCAAGGCTATATAGTGAGCTTTATTGTCAGTGTTCCAGCAACCCTCCATTCCACCCAATAACTCTGAGACAAACATCTTCTCAAAAGTTCCTTTTTATTTGGATAGTAACTGGCACAACTGTGGAAACCTGAATCTGAAAGTTCCAGGCTTCCTTACAAAAACTACAAACTCCATCCTCTGCACCCATCATCACATCACATGGCCCAATCACCATCCGTCCCAAGTTAAGACTTCCTCTCAGTTATGTGTAACACAACCTGACCTTGAATCAGAAAAAGCATGTTATTTTGTCCAATAAATTCCTCCCTCCCACTTTCCCAGTGTGGCAGCGTGGGAGCATCTGATCTCAATATGGCTTCCAAAGCTGACATTTATAACAGAATTAGGATTTTAGTTCTACTATTCCAGGAAACTCATTTTGGCACTTGTACATTTTATATTCACACCAAGATCATCAACACATTGCCATATTACAAATTATTATTAATATTACAAATTAAGTGTGGCACTGAAACTTTAAAAAAAACTTGGTTCATAAGCAGCATGTCAAGATGGACTTTTGGGATTTTTTTTCATAAAAATATTATACTGTAATTCCCACATTCCTTTGTTGGGTATCTATACAATGACAATGAATGCAAGGCTATAAAATGTAAAGTGCCAAGGTCATTAAGTTTTTCTGAGCTTCAGACAGCAAACTTGTAGAGGCAATAGGGTATAGACATGTCAGATTTGGAAGGCACAATTTTACCTATATTAATCTAATATAACTTGACAAGAAAAGTAAATAATTTTTTTATATTGAGAAAGTTAATGTTATTTCCAACTATCCATCCAAGATTGTCTATCATGAGACATAAGATATTAACTAAATAACTAGATTAGAAAAAGGGATCATGTAGAGAGGAATTTTAGCAACTGGAAAAACTAAACTCACTTCTTACATTTTTGACTCAGATATTTGTTAAACCATTATTTCTACACAGTAAGTCTTATTAGGGATTGGATTATATTAACGTTTTGGCTTGTTTTAACTTACAAAACTCTTACTTTACTTAAAAGAAATATATTAATTCAGAGAAAAATAAAAACATTTAAAACGTCTGAAAATACATGAGCCATGGTGGCACAATGGTCAGAGTGCAGTACTGCAGCTACTTTTGCTGACTGCTGGCTGGCTGCCTACAATTTGGCAGTTCAAATCTCACCAGGCTCAAGGTTGACTCAACCGTCCATCCTTCTGAGGTCTGTAAAATGAGAACCCAGATTGTTGGGGGCAATGTGTTGACTCTGTAAACCGCTTAGATAGGGCTGTAAAAGCATTGTGAAATGGTATACAAGTCTAAGTGCTATTGCTACATATGTTTTAGAAAACATGAATGTATAATTTTCCAACTGGAAGCTTATGGCATAGCTAAAATAAGAGTCATATTAGATTT